GGAATGTCTAAGTCCGTGTCCCACTGGACATAAAGTCCGTATGACTTCCAACACGTACCTCCTCGCGGCAGTGCATGGTGAGTAGTCTGTAATGATTTCGACGTTGATTTGCAGTGTTTCTCGCTGTTAGCGTGTACTTATTGCTTTATATATGCTCACGTCACTTAATTATGTACTTCCTTGCGGCGGTGCATGGTGAGTAGTTGGCATTTATTAAATGGTCTATGCTCTGAGTTTGACGTTCGTTCACAGTGCTTCTCGCTATTAACGTGTTCTTATTCGATGTGCTCTGTTTCTTTATACCTTGGCCGCCGGTTGCTGCTTGCACATTCGGGAGACATCTCAGAGTGTGCATGGTTGCATCCCTCAATTGGTTACTGCTCTCCTCCGGTTGAAGGTAGTATTCATAGGTCATGAGTATGCTCGACGAATGATATACATGCATTTTCGCCTCGATACAGATTGCCTGTCCTGCTGTCTCGTCATTTGTCAGTGACGTTCAGAGGTACGCAACCTGTGAGTTCCCTCAATTCCACGTGGTCCTCCAATGTTTCATTGATCATGCTTGACGTGCCTGCCACTGCCTTTATTGTTCTTTGCTCGCGTACTTCCATTGCGCAGTTTGACCAATCTCGCTCGAATGCATCATATAGGAAGAGACCATTGAAAACATACGGTGATCGGTTTGGAGTCTATTGTTCGGGCATCGATGTAGTTTGGCTTGTGTGTCTGCCATTGCAGTGTTCGACTTTGCACATGATGGTTTGCACGAAGTGAGTTCAGAAGGGATCTATACGATGCACTGGCATCTTGTTGGATCGATTTCCAGTTGTAAGTGGACAGCTTCGATGCACAGAAAGAACTAGGTACTTATTCACCGGTGTTTATCATTGTGACTTACCTGCTCTGTGCAGTGGATTGGAATGCATTATTATAGACATCTGACACACCATTGAAAGATCTGGTGTGCAGGCTCGATTTTGCATTGCTTGTTTCAGTTGCAACTGCACATGAACTAATTGCTCCTGGGGATGAGTGGACATCCACAATCGTCATGAACGTGATCACCGCTGTGATCACCGCTGACACCATCATCCCCGCATATCCAACTCACATTCAGCAACACCTTGCACTGGGTGAAACAATCAATAATTTGAGATGAAAGATGATAAAAATATTGAGGAAAAAGTTCAAATCTTTTAAGCATCTTCACTGTCAATTTTTGATAAAAGGATTTAAAATATTTTTAACATCTTTTGTTGAAAAAGATGATGAAAAGATTGAAAGGAGATTGCATAAAATATTAATAATTATTTCTTTGATCATTTTACAATCTTTCATACAAAACTATGATGAAAAGTTTCAAAATTGGTTTTCGCTTTTTTTTGATCAAAGATGATAAAAATATTGTGACTATGTCACAGCTAATACTAAGATCTGGAGGTAAATACTCAGATTTATATATTAGCACTGCACTAGTACTATAGTCATAAGAGTAATACTAAGATTTCAATGTTAGCAGTATGCTAATACTAAGATTTAAATGCTAGTACTATGCTAGTATTAAGGTCTGAAGATTAGAACTAAGCTAGTACTAAGGTCTGCAGATTAGTACTAAGGTTTGAAGGTTAGTACTATGCTAGTACTATGCTAGTACTAAGGTGAAGGCTAGTACTAAGGTCTGGAGGTCAGTACTAAGGTCTAAATGAGCATAGTACTAGCATAGTATTGATCTCTAAATGTTAGCACTAGCTTAGTACTAGCATACTACTAGCCTCCAGACTTTAGTACTAGCATAGTACTAGCATTCAGATCTTAGTACTAGCTTGGTACTAGCGTAGTACTAGCATCCAGACTTTAGTACTAGCTGAATGCTAGCATAGTTACTAACCTTCAAACCTTAGTACGAGCTTAGTACTAGCATAGTACTAACCTTCAGATCTTAATACTAGCATAGTACTAGCATTTAAAATTTAGTATTAGCATACTGCTAATATTAAAATCTTAGTCTTACTCTTCTGACTATAGCACTAGTATAATGTTAACACATAAACCTGAGTATTAACCTCCACATCTTAGTACTAGCTTAGAAAACAAGGGTGTGACACAGTCACAATATTTTCATCATCTTTGATCAAAAAAAGTGAAAAAAGATTTTGAAACTTTTCATCATAGTTTTGTATGAAAGATTGTAAAATGATCGAAGAAATAATTATTAATATTTTATGCAATCTCCTTGCGATCTTTTCATCATCTTTCACAACAAAAAATGTTAAAAATATTTTAAATACTTTTATCACAAATTGACAGTAAAGATGCTTAAAAGATTTGAACTTTTTCTTTAATATTTTTATCCTCTTTCACCCTAAATTATTGATTGCTTCACCCAGTGTTCAGTGGCTTTGAATTTCTATAAAATGCTAAAAACTTGACAGTACTTCTCAGGAATAGAAGGTATATCATTTCAAGTTCTCAAAATGCTGAGAAAACTCATTTCAATTTTCTGACATTGCAAAGGAAATATCAATTCTTGTTTCATAAAAGATATTAATATCTAT